AAGTTGGTAGATCTGTGTCATCTCAGAGAGAAGGTCACAGGGTCACCTGTCAGCCTTTCTGTGTGGAGTTTGCATGATCTCTCCGTGCACACATGCACTTTGTCTAGTACTCCAGTTTCTTCCCACAGACCAAAAACAGGCCACGTTCATTAGTAACTCTAAATTGTCCCAAGGTGAGAGTGTGAAAAGACGTTCATCTCTGTGTGCCCCTCTTGAAAGACTGGAAACCTGTCCAGGCGTCCCTTGTCTCTCCCAGTGACTGATTGACATGGACACCAACTTCCTTTGAGCCCATTTTTTTCTTGAATGGATGAGATTGACATGTTGTGAAACGTACAGAGCTTGAAAAAAGAAAATATACATATGTGTATACATATATATATATATAAATGTGTGTGTGTGTGTGTCAGTGTGTGTACTGTATACACACACACATACATACATACATATATATATACATATAATCATAATATTTTACTGGCACACAAAACTGTTTGCACAAACATTTGATGTTGTTATCAGTTATCCTTAACAACAATTTAAAATGACAGATACGCATTTTATTTGAATTTTGTTAAAAGTATCTCACGGTCTAAACAACATTGTGTTGTCTGCTTTATTTAGTCCAAAGTATTCTGTTTGTTTATTTATGACCTGCATTATTTAACAAGATTCAAAATTTATACAAAACCACTACAGGTTTAAAAATAAATTTAAAATGATTTGATTATTAGTGAAACAGAACTTTTTAAACATTTGTTTAAAAGTAATAATTCATGCATTTCATAAATTAATTTACTTTTTTAATGTTTGTCTGAAAGAATACTGAAATATTAAAAATAAATTCCACGTTATCTGTAATGCACTGCTCATATTTTAAAACTTGAGGATAAACGCTTTGGATTGTACCGTTCAACTGATTCTTATTTTACACTTTAAATTATTTTTTTACAAGTTATCAACAGTAAAAACAAAATTAAAAGTACTTCACATAAAACTTACAATGTACAACCACCAGTGAGAAGCAAAGATTCAAAATAAATTTGGATAATGACTGAACTTGATCTCTGTGAAGGCTCAGAGTTTATGTCAGAGTTACATTTATGCATAAAAAAATAAAACAATAAATTAATCAACACACATTTTTCACAAAATAGATTTATGCAACAACTTAGCAGCTTTTAGATTTCACTAATTCCATTCTTGTACAAATAATTTTATACAAACAAACAAATTATTGACAGTCACGTTATTAAAAGAAAACATATGTAAATAAAAAGTTTAAAACTTAAACTCAAACCGGACAAGGAAAAAGTTGAACCATTAAATAACCAATCAAATAAATAAGAAAGTATATAAAACACAGCAAAAATTCTATGTAACATCACAATTTAAGATAAAAAAGAAGCAACATTAAGAACAAAATGTGATCCAAGAGCAGAACATTACAGAAAACTAGTCCAAGCCCAGACCACAAAACCCCAGTCTAGGCCAGTATAAATAGGAAACTAGACAACATTCTGAATGCACCTCTAGATTTAATGCTTCTTTTACATCAATTAAAAAAAAAGATCCAACCTGGAGGTAAGAGAAGAGTTTTATTTTTTGTGAGAAAGGTCAAAATATTTAAAATGTACATCTTGAAAAACATCTTTAAATAAATAATGTGTTGTTGTTCAATTGAATCTCAGCTGCCCCACAGGACAAAAGATTTTATTTCTTAACAAAAATATGAAAGAAGCAAGAATACGTCCTGATGCATGCTCAATAATCCAAGAATATGATCATTTTTGGTTGTCGCTGCAGTTCCGCCTGTTCACCAGCAGAGGGCAGTGCTGTCTTTACATCTGTTTGAGCGTCACACACGAGAACATCCCTCTGAGCTCAGTGCTGGTGTCGGATTGGACAGGTTGTGTTTGACGGTCGAAGTCAGAAACAAGGTCAAACATTAAACTTACATTTTGTTTTAAACCAATAATTAATTTGTAAAATGGATTTAAGGCTGTGTGTGTGTGTGTGTGTGTGTGTTTGCATACTCGAATATCTGTTATTGTGGGGACCCATGTGTGTTGCAGTACTTTAGGGGTCCCCTAATATTCTGGTTTGAGTTAGTGTTTGTTTAGATCACCTGGTTGTGTTTTTTATGAATGAAAGTCCTCACTGAGGAGGAGATATCTGTGTCTGTGTGAGTGTTCATGCCTGTATAGTGTTCTGAGGACATAAATCTGTTAAGTGTCCTGTTGTAAAGATAAACTGCAGGAACGGTTGAATTTCAATCTGCAGAATCAATGAGAAGTCGTATGAGGTGAGGGAAGCGTGTGTGTTCTGCTGCAGTGCTGCATCACTTCAGGAAAACATCTGCGTTAATATGCAGCAGAGAGAGCGATCTGGACCATTTCAGATCCTGCTGACGTCAGCAGGAGGAGGAGAGATCCCCACACTTTGTGTATCCCCACACACACACACACGTTTCTTACTATGTGTGTGTGTGTTTAGTCATTCATTACTCTCCAATTTTACTCACTGCCTAAAAACAACTTAAAGGTCCAGTTTCAGGTCTTTACTGTTTTCTCAAAGATGCTGTTCATCTGCAGGAAATGGGATTTTAGACCTGATTCGTCTTCTTTTGTCCAGCATGTGACCAGTTTTTTCAGAATATTTTAGGACAAACTGCATGCTGAGATTAGCACAGTATTCTGCTAAAAAAGTGAAATGATGTAGGGGAAAAACAAAGTTCAAAGAAAAACTATGAAAAACCTTCAGAGCTTCTGGAGAAATAATGATTCAGACTATTTTAATAATTTTAATTGAAAATGTTCCTTTAACGGTTTGAGTCAAAAACATCTTTTAAGAGATTATATTTGTGTGTATTGCCAATTTTTATATTTTAAAGGTGGATGAATTTATTTTGATGTTTTTAGGATCATGTCAGCGTATAAATCAACAAAAATAAATTAATATTATCTAGGACAGTTGCTGTTTTTCTTTTTTGTTCAAATATTTCCAATTTCCAATTCTTCCATCACACAAAGTTCTTTGGTTAACCCTCCTGCTGCCCTTGGGTCAAAAAGACTCTTGAAGCCTTCATTTAAAACCTAGTCCACATGGGTCATTTTGACCCAAGGGCAGCAGGAGGAGAAGGAGATAAAACACTCAGGTGAGATTTGGAAAGATATAATTTGGGTCAAAAACCATCACCTGAGCAGGAACTTGATTTAAAATGTAAAATATATTTTTGTAGAGCGTCATCATTTTAGACTGGGCTAAGTTCTGCATGTTAAGGTCCAAAACCATCACATTTTGCACTTTACTTTGAATGTTACATTTCATTTATTGAATGTAAAAACACAATTAAATAAAATGAATAAAAATCAGTGTCTAGTTAAAATTATGGGATCAACCATAAATCAGCCTGCAGTCACATGATGATTGCTAAACTTTAAAATAACTAAAATATTTTTCAAAAGGAACTTTATTCAATTAAATTGACAAATATAAACATAGATGGGTCAGATTGAAAGAGATTGGGCCAAAGAATTTGACTTTAATTGTATGAAAAATTGAAAATTATTTATTTTTATGTTGTTCCTGTCGTTTATACCACTGACGCTTCAACTTCTGACCCCCCCACCCCCAAGGACACACACTCACACACACACATAATCCAATTAAATAAATAATTTTGATAAGTATGATAAACTGAAGTGTTTAAATTAAGCTGGAAACCATTTTAATTGAAACATGAGTTTACTCCTTGTTAATATTAGTGATAACACACTGTAAGCAAAAACTTTTAAAATGTTTGATTTGATTTTTTTAAATCTGAGAATTCTAATTTGGTGTTTCATAAATGTGGTTCTGATCTAGAACTTTAGGAACCAGTGGGTTTTTGAGACATAAATCAGCAGTTTTAATTTATAAACCAATGAACTGTTTAATTAATTTAATGAATAGCTGTGTTCACTGTATAAGGAAATCAGTTTAGGACAAAAGACAGACAGAAAACATCCCAAAGGAAAAAATAACAAAATTTATTTGGATTTTTAAAAAAAAAGAAATATAAGCTTTTTGACTGGATGGGCCTGAGCCTCCCTTAGCCCCCCTTTAAAGCCACACCCCGAATTTTATTAATTTAATTATAAATTAGGTGACTTAATTAAGAGATAATGACGTAAAAAAACTGAAGGCCATAATTGGATAGGCTTTAGGATATAATGTCAACCATCAAGGGGCGTGGCTATAGGTGGAGTTTAGGGGGGCTAAGGTCAACCTTGGCCAAGCCTCCAAATTATTTATTTTTAACCAATTAGATGTTCAAAAATGACAAAAAGAAAATATTTACATTTTGCTTGTAGGAAACTTGGTATGAGGTAGGTAGGTCTGAGCCCCCTTTGGCCCCCCTCATAGACACACATCAAATTAATTTTTAAATCAACTGTCCAAAAAATACATTTTTTAAAGAATTTTTAGGCTTTTGCTTTGTATGGGCCTAGCCCCCCTGAGACTTCCTCATAGACAAGTCTCTGATTTAATTTTAAATAATTAGGTACCTAAAATATTTTTTATAAATTCAGCTGTTGGCTTGGATGGTCTGAGGCCCCCAAGGTCCACCTTCAGCTCCGCCCCTGATTCGTCTAGTTTTAACTAAAAAAAGGAAAACTAAGAATATAAAGATGTTCTGGCTGATTGAATGGGCCTCGGCCCCCTGAGACTTCTTTATAAACACACCCCTGATTTATTTTAAACTAAGAGCCTAAAAAAGGAGAAATAAATTTCCAAAATGTTCCGATTTCAAACCAGAACCTTAATTATTTAATTTGAAAGGATTTAATAAAGATTTAATCCAGTTTAGTTTTGGAAGCAGAACTTTGGTCTCGTTTATTTTCCCTGAAGATTCAAACACGAAAATAAAACGACCGAAATATTAATAATGATGATGAAGATGATGAAGATGATGGAAGGAGGGATGGAGGGAGGAGCTTCTCTCCATCTTCTCCTTTCTCTGCCGGGACGTAAAACGGAGTGAAGCTCCGAGAGGAGCAGCAGAGAGGAAGAGGAGCAGCAGAGAGGAAGAGGAGCAGAGAGGAAGAGGAAGAGGAGCAGCACTACCAGAGGAGGAGGAGGAGGCGCAGCCGGCCTGGATGTAGCAGTTTGCGGGTGTTGTTGCGGGATGTGCGGCTCCTCCTCTGCGGCTCTAACTTTGTGCGTGTGATGGTGAGCCCCGGAGGATCATGGGAGTGAGCTGCTCCTGCAGGAGGATGATGGGAGTCAGCTGCTCCTCCAGGTGCACCTCCTTCCTCCTGGTCCTGCATGTCGGTGAGGAAAGATTCTTTGATTTGGGTTCAGGTTTCAGGTCCGAACTTCTCCGGTTCTGGTTCTGGTTCTGGTTCTGGTTCTGGTTCTGGTTCTTCTCTGAGCGGCTGCAGAATCAGTTTCACGCTCAAACCAAAACATTTGACTTTGACTCATCTTTAACTCAGAGCTGCTGAGGCGCGCGAGCAGCGGGACTTCACTCTGTTCACTCCAGGGCGCGAGCGTGCGCGATGTGCGTGAACAAGGGGAATGCCCCCCCCCCCCCTTACACACACACACACGCGGTTGTCCCAAACTGGGCAGGATTGCTGCCTCGATCTGCTCCAGAATTAAGATTAGAGTTTTAATTCTGAAACATTAGTTTTTATTTCATTTGATGTTTAATGAAAACACATTTTATTTATTTTATTTTTTAAAGATGAGATAAAAATAAATGAAAAATTAAAACCTGCAGGATTAGGTCGAGGCTTTTGAAGCGTCCAGGAATTAGTCGGTGTTCAGAGGAGCCATCCCGCCGCAGTGTGCGCGCGGATCCGCCGCGTGACACCCCGCACGGTCCGGGAGAATAAAATAATATTAATACTATTATTAAAAAATAAAAACTCGTTTTTAATCCAGATTTGATTAAAAATCTGATTTTATTTTAATAAACATAAAATAAAATAAAATAGATTTCTTCTCTGCGCGCGCACGGCAGCCCTCGTGCACGTCATGGCACAGTTTTTCTCTGTCGGATCATGGACCCAGTTGTTGTTTGAACCCACCGGACCGCCCGGTTCCGTTCCGTTCGGCTGCTGCGCGACAAAACCGCCTGGATGCGTCTAATTACTGGAAACTGATGGAGCCGACTGTAGTTTGGTTTCATAACGAGCCTGTGTGCGCGCGCGTGTGTGCAATGCTGAATTATTCAGGACGCAGATCTCGGTTCACAGGTTCTGTTGTTCAGGAGAGACAGAACCGAGTCTCTGCAGACCTGACCCGGTTCGGAAAGGTTCGGTTCTCTGGGCTCGGTTCGGGTGTCGGTGTGTTTGAAGTGGATCCTGCGCGCGAACAAAAAGAGAAAATAAAACATTTAAATCAGTTTTAATTCAATTATTTAACATTTCATCAGTTTTACGCACAGAAACCTCCTGCGCGTGCGTGTGGAGAGGTGTCTGAGTGGAGGCGTGAACGAAATTAAAACAAAACACGAGTAAATTATTTTAAAGCGTGTGCGCGTGCACGTACAGGTCTCATTCGGACAAAAATAAATTCTGAAATGTTTAAAAAACGTAAAGAAGAAAAATGATGTGAAAAGACTCAAAACGAGTTTCCGTTAAAATATAAAACATTTAAATTTTGTCTGAAAGATTTTATTAAAGAATAAAAATAAAAATGTTTTTAAAAGCTCCGCGAGGAACAAACTATAATAAAAACAATAAATTTTAATGTTTCAACCAAAACGAAAAATGATCTTCATTAATATTTAATGTCGTTTGTAATTTTTATTTCATTCAACATTTTTCAAACATAAAAAAATTATGAATAAAAAGATTAAAATGCAGATTTTATGCAAATTAAAATGTTTTTTATTTTGAAGAATGTTTTACAGAGTTCAGTCAGAGAGAGAGAGAGAGAGAGAGAGATGATGTAATCCTCCAACATCCTGAGAGCACGAGACAAAGAGAGGAGGAGGAGGGAGAGGAGGGAGAGGGAGAGGAGGAGGAGGGAGAGGGAGAGGAGGGAGAGGAGGGAGAGGGAGAAGAAGTGGAAGGAAAAGAGAAGAGGAGGAGAAAAAGGAGGAGGTTTCTCTCGTTTCTCCTTCACAGAAACATCAGGACACTGAAACATCTGAAGAACTTTTATTGGAAATAAATGAAGACAAAACAAAAAATAGAATAAAAACTTTTATAAAATGTTTAAATTGAGAAAAGAACTCAAAATGTTGATTTTATAAAAAGTTTAAATAAATATGAGAACATCATGTAAACACTAAAAACAACGTTTAAAACAAGATTTTTGACTGGAACAGTTCAGTAAAATTCATTTAACACATTTATTCAACTCTTATTCCAAACTTTGGGTTGAACGTTCAGTTTTTCGTGAAATGAATAAATAAAACGAGAGGAGCAGTTGAACTCTGTGATCGTCTCTGGTCGAACCTGGACAGTAAAAATGTTTCAGGCCTCTCAGGGACCCGCCCCGGTGTTGTAACCCGAATCGTGTCCAGTTCAGCTGCAGCTTCCTGTCAGGGACTCACATTAACCCTGAGGCTGCAGGTCAACACCAAAACCAGAGCTTAGTCCAGTTTCACCTGTTCCAACACAAATCTGATGTGAAACCAGAAGTTGTCACAACCCAACAAACTGAGGAGGATCCAGACGGTTCTGACGGGCCGGTGTTCAGATTAAATCTGGCTCCATAATTTAAAATTTTAATCTTCTAGAGCCAAACAGGAAGAAGCTCCGTCAACGTCTTTATCAGTTCTAAACAAATAAAACAAGTTTTAAAAACAGGAACTATTTTAATCAACGCCGGCTGTCTTTCCACTGGTGAAGATGCTTTTTTACATGTTGATCTGTTAGCAAAATATCTCAGGAACCAGTGGAGAAATTTAAATGAAACTCAGAAAGACGTCGATGGACGAACGTTAACATCCGGAGTCAGCCCACTTCAAGATGGCCGCCACAGCTAACCCATAAGCCACACAAAGATAACTCAGTTGTACAGAAATGGAGCTGAACTTAATGGTTGTAAGTAATGATAATAATGATAATAATAATAATAATAATAATAATAATAATAATAATAATAATAATAATAATATAATTATTAATAATTAAATAATTCCTTATTATGTTTTTCCAAACTTAAGAAGACCTGAAATGTTTTAGTGTTGATTTTTTATTCTGTTATTACACAACAAGTTGTTTGTAGATTAATCAGAACATGTTCTGAAATGAGTTAAAAAATAAAAAAAATAAAAAATTGTGACCACTTAAATTCCAACTTCCAAAACTGACCCAACCAGGTGTTTTTAACGGTGTTCCAGGTATTTCTGTTACTTTAAAATAAAAGTAGAAAAATTATAAACAAGTTAAACTGAGAACAAAACCCTGAAATACCCAGAGAAGGTGGGAGTAATTTTTAAATGTATTACTTTGTCACAATATTGTAAATTTATGTCAATAATCCAAATCTAGATATTTTAGAAAGTCTTGAACTTTTTAAAAGGCTGCCGTTGTTTTCTTACTGAAATATATTTATTATCACCTAAAGATTGGTTGGATTAAAACACACATTTGTTTTAAGTAATTGGAAACACTTGGTTATTTTTAGTCACTTCAAACACGTCGTTATTTTTAGTCAATCGAGAAACGTTATTTTTAGTCACTTCAAAAAACACTTGTTTATATTTAGTCACTTCAAACACGTCGTTATTTTTAGTCACTTAAAACATTTGGTTAGTTTAAGTCATTGGAAACACTTATTTTTAGTCACTTCAAACATGACGTTATTTTTAGTCCCTTCAAACCCATTGTTATTTTTAGTCACTTAAAACATTTGGTTAGTTTAAGTCATTGGAAACACTTATTTTTAGTCACTTCAAACATGACGTTATTTTTAGTCATTTAAAAAAAGTCGTTATTTTTAGTCACTTAAAACACTTGTTTTTTTAGTCACTTCAAACAATTGGTAATTTTAACTCATTGGAAACATTTGGTTAATTTTAGTCACTTCGGACACTTGGTTAGTTTAAGTCATTGGAAACACTTGGTTGTTTTTAGTCACTTCAAACACTTGGTTACTTTTAGTCACTTCAAAGACTTGTTTAGTTTGTCACTTCAACAACATCATTATTTTTAGTCTCTTCAATTACTTGGTTAGTTTAAGTCAATGGAAACACAGTTATTTTTAGTCTCTTCAATCACTTGGTTAGTTTAAGTCAATGGAAACACAGTTATTTTTAGTCACTTCAAACACTTCGTTAGTTTAAGTCATTGGAAACACTTGGTTATATTTAGTCACTTCAAAAAAACTTGGTTATATTTAGTCACTTAAAACACTTGGTTATATTTAGTCACTTCAAACATTTGGTTAGTTTTAGTCACTTCAAACATGTCATTGTTTTTAGTCACTTCAAACACTTGGTTAGTTTAAGTCATTGGAAACACTTGGCTACTTTTAGTAATTTCAAACATGTCATTATTTTTAGTCACTTCAAAACACTTGTTTAGTTTGTCACTTCAACAACATCATTATTTTTAGTCACTTCAAACACTTGGTTAGTTTAAGTCAATGGAAACACAGTTATTTTTAGTCACTTCAAACACTTGGTTAGTTTAAGTCATTGGAAACACCGGGTTATATTTAATCACTTCAAACACTTGGTTATATTTGGTCATTTAAAACACTTGGTTATATTTAGTCACTTCAAACATTTGGTTAGTTTTAGTCACTTCAAACACTTGGTTAGTTTAAGTCCATGGAAACAGTTATATTTAGGAACTTCAAACACTTGCTTGGTTTAAGTCCTTTCAAACACTTGTTTAGGTTAGGTCATTTCAAACACTTGGTTAGTTTAAGTCATTTCAAACACTTGTGTAGTTTAAGTCATTTAAAACGCTTGTTTAGTTTAAGACATTTCAAACACTTGGTTAGTTTATGTCACTTCAAACACTTAGTTGGTTTAAGTCATTGGAAACAAGTGGATATTTTAGGCACTTCAAACACAGTTAGTTTAAGTCATTTCAAACTTGGTTAGTTTAAGTCATTTTAAATACTTGGTTAGTTTAAGTAATTTCAAGCACTTGGTTAGGTTAGGTCATTTCAAACACGGGGTTAGTTTAAGTCATTTCAAACACTTGCTTAGTTTAAGTCATTTCAAACACTTGTCTGGGTTAAGTCATTTCAAACACGGGGTTAGTTTAAGTCATTTCAAACACTTGTCTGGGTTAAGTCATTTCAAACACGTGGTTAGTTTAAGTCATTTCAAACTCTTGGTTAGTTTAAGTAATTTCAATCATTTGGTTGGGTTAAGTCCTTTCAAACACGTGGTTATTTTAAGTCCTTTCAAACACTTGGTTAGTTTAAGTCCTTTCAAACACGTGGTTAGTTTAAGTCATTTTAAACACTTGGTTAGTTTAAGTCCTTTCAAATACTTGGTTATTTTTAGTCACTTCAAAGACTTGTTTAGTTTATGTCATTTCAAACACTTGGTTAGTTTTAGTCATTGGAAACAAGTGGTTATTTTTATTCACTTCAAACACTTGGTTAGTTTAAGTCATTGGAAACAAGTGGATATTTTAGGCACTTCAAACACTTGGTTAGTTTAAGTTATTTCAAACACTTGTCTGGGTTAAGTCATTTCAAACACGTAGTTAGTTTAAGTCATTTCAAATACTTGGTTAGTTTGGGAATGTTTTGAAATGAACCTCCTGTAGTTAAAATCTCTTCAGAGTTTGAAATCAAACTGTTTTTTGCTTTTGTTTGTTTCTTTTTCATTTTTCGTCATAACAATGGATTTTTATCTGTTTTTGGTCCCTCTTGTCGATAAGATCAGTTCATCAATCAGACTTAGAGCACGTCAGAACATCTCGCCACCTCTCCTCGACCTTGTCCAATATCCGTGTCTCGTCCTACACGTCATGCTGTGTTAGTCCACAGTCTGAGTGGAACCAGACAACAGTCGTGTTATTATCCAAACAATCAATCAGCCCGATGCCCTGCTTAACGAACCTCAACTTCACAGCCAGCAGAGGCGGGGTAACGAGGTCCTGATGGAGGGTGAGAGACAGGAAGGGGAGGGGTTTATGGGTGAAGGACCCGCCTGATTAAACAGTTTTCTGATTTAATGGTTTCTGTTCAGTCTAATGTGTTTTTTGTTAAAAATGTTTAATGGTTTGTTTAATAAAGTTAAATTTATGATGAGCTAAGACTTGGTGTGGTAGTAGCTGTCTATACAAGTCTTTAAGAAGAAAGGTTATTTACATGTTTCATAAAAAGCTGACATAATTTTCCAGGAATAAAGTAGAAAAAGTTGCTATATTTGTACAGAAAAATGACTTATTGATATTTTATTTAATCTGAGGATGGAGTGAATTTTTACTCACCATGATCAGAAAAAGAACTTTTCCCCTTATCTAAATGTTTTTGTGTTTGTTTCCTTCCTGCAGTCTCCGTGTTGCAGACTGTGCTCGTCAGCGCTGGTCAATGTGACTCCGTCTTCGAAGGCTTCTCAAACTGTCTCATTCGCTTAGGGGACGACATGGCCAACTACCCCCAGGACCTGGACGACAGGGAGAACCTGCACAAGATCTGCACGTAGGTTCACCACAAACACACTTCCACACAGCCTCATGAACAGCAGAGACAGAATCAGCAACATGAATCTGAGAAGAAACTATACTTTCTACGATAATCCACGTTTTTTTTACATCTTGACCATTCAGAGAAAAGCCAGAGCATCCATGACAACATTTCTAATACAAGATACATAAAAATGCATTTAAGAGCAGCTCTTCTTAGCTACACAACCATTAAGTGACAAGTCCACATGATGCTGGAGGTTCATGCTGCAGATTGTTTCCATGCCCTTAAAATATGCCCTCAGCGTTTTTAAACTTGACCTCTCGGTTCTTGTAATTTTCTCTCTGGACATAAAAAAAATCTGGATTTTACGTTGGAAGTTATTATAACTGTTTAATGGGGTTTTGCTATTTCCTGTGTCCAAATGAATACAAACGAAGTCATAAAAGGAAGTGAGCGATGATAAACAAGAAGTGAGTGATGGTAAACAGGAAGTGAGTAATGATGAATATGAAGTGAGTGATGACAAACAGGAAGGTCATGAATTTAAACAGGAAGTTATTAATGATGAACAATAAGTGAGTGATGATAAACAGGAAGTGGATGATAATAGACAGGAAGTGAGTGATAACAAACAGGAAGTGAGTGATGATAACCAGGTAGTTAGTGATGATAAACAGGAAATGAATGATGGTGGATAACGATAACCTGTTAGGATTAGGGGTGGATGGATAGTTAACAGAACTTTGGAGAATCTTGGTTCAGATAGAAACTGTGGATTGAAGCTCGTGTTCACTCCTGATTACCTTCTTGTGTTTGTCAGGAAACTGTGTACGACTTAGCAACTCAGAAAATTTCCCTTAACATCTGATTTTATCACATCATCCATCCATCCATCCATCCATCATCCATCCATCATCCATCCATCCATCCATCCATCCATCCATCCATCCATCCATCCATCCATCCATCCTTCCATCCATCATTTACTTTACCTGATTCTTCCTTTCTGAGTCACGCGAGTCACTGGTGTCCATATCCAGCAGTGTGAGAGGTGTGAGAGGTGGGGGACACCTGGACAGGTCTCCAGTCCATCAAAGGGACTCATAGAGACAAACAACCATTCTCTCTCACATCTAGGGACAATTCAGAGTTACCATCAGCCTAACATGCATGTTTTTGGTCTGTGGGAGGAAACCGGAGTAC